GTTGAGTTTCATCAGTTCTCCGTATATTTTTGTGATCAGTCCTTTATCACTTCTTTTGTGTGAGAAAATGTTTTCCCAATTAGTGGGGTGTCTGTTTGTTTTTAGTAATGTCTGAGAAGAGACCTTTGAATGTAACCTTAAAGTACAGGAAATTTAAAAGAAGTTAAAAACTGATGTTCATATATTTGTAGAAAATCATGATTTGTGATAAAATGATCCATACGAGGATTTAAAGCATGAAACCATTAAGACAAAAATTCTTTGGGTATAGGAAATGAGTTTAGGGAAATGAGGGAATGAAATGATGTAAAATTTCCTCAAAGAAGAATTTCTTCACATTTTATTAGGGGCCCCTAACAAAATTTTTCACAATTGAGGGTTCCCATCCCACATGTGTAACCTTAAACAATTGGAGGTGAGTATTAAATTGCATTGCTATTTAGAATCAACTAGAACATTTTTTTTTAAGATTTATTTATTTATGCATACTGAATTGAGGTATAGGCCAGAGGTGCAGGGGGACGAGAGAATTCACCAGAGACAGAGTGGAGAGCCGAATAGGCAGATCAATGAAATACACTGCTGATGGGGGCAGTGAGCAGGTCAGGAGAGGTCTGCTATGCCATGTGGGTCACCTCCAGGGCTGGGGATCAAACTTACACTGAAGTGACTGTTGGCCGCTGCTAGCTTGCAGTGCTGTGCTCTAACCAGTTGCACTACTAGGGAGGGCCTAGACACATTTCTAAGACATAATAAGCATTTAAAAATATCAATGTTGACATTTTTCCAGAAATTATCTTTTTTGTAGTCCCCTACATTTTGAAAAATGGCAGATAAACCAAATAACAAAACCCATATTTTTTCCCAAAATCCTTCTAAAAAATGTGAACAAAAAGTATTTAAGACCACAGTTCCAGGTTCCACTTCCCCTTCTGTTCTGTTTTTATTTTTTAAATTGTGGAATCTTGTTTCTGTAAGGGATCTTTAATGTTCTGGGTGCTCCTGTTGGAGGCTTTCAATAATCCTGCTACCCAGGGTTCCATTCTCCCTTTTCTGTTGTCCTCTAGGTTCAATATCTGTACCGAGTGTTCTGCAGGCTCCGTCCTGGTGTTTCAATCCTGGCCCTACACGGTCGACAGCAGCAGATGAGAAGGATGGAAGTCTATAATGAATTTGTCCGCAAGAGAGCTGCAGTGCTTTTTGCTACTGATATTGCAGCCAGGGGGCTGGGTAAGAATATATTTTAAAAAAAGGTAATCTGTGATCATGGGAGTACAAATTTCTTAGACATGGATATGGTTATATTTTGGAACTTCACCTGGTTTGACTGGGAAGTTGGCCTTGTAAGAGAAATAAGTAATTGTTGGACGATTGTTAATCATCTCAGGCACATCAGTCAGGTTTTTCATCTTTTGTGTTTTATTGTGTCATAATAATTACATCACAGAATTCTGAGGCACATACAAAATCAGAGGAAGATTAAAGATTTAAAGAAAATGCTCTGTTCTTTTCAAAATGGAACCTTGATAAATATAATTTCAGAGAGATCAGTTCTTCAGTTATCCAATTTTTATTTAAAATAATATTTAATGTGTTCACATTTTCAAGAAGCCACTGTGATATTAAATGTGATAAGCAAATGGTGGGTTTGTGATTTGAGGAAAATTAGTTAAGAGATAAGAACAAAAGAATGAGAATAAGTGGTAATGTGAATTCTTCACTTAATATACAAAGAAAATAGCGTAGGAGTATGTTGTTCTTCTATATACTCAACCCAGCTTTAGTAATGATGTTTGGTTGATCATGATCACTTGAAATCTGGCCAGTGCAAATGAGAAAGGAATGGGTTTTTAATTTTATTTATTTTCTATTAATATAATTTTAATTTTAAGAGAAATAGCTGTGGTATTGAGCAGTATGGAATACAGCCTGAAATTTGAATTGCAGCAAACTTATCTCTGAATTCTTATTTGCTGTTTTGGTTAAACAAACACTTAATATTTAGTCTTTTGATGCTATCATTTTTGCTGCTGAGGCAATTTGTGTACTTAGATGGTTTTCTTCTTCATATCTTTTAAATAACATTTTCTGGGCCCTCCCTGGTGGCGCAGGTGATTGGGGCACAACACTAAGAAGCTTAAGCCACTTCTGCATGAGTTCGATCCCTGCCTGCCCCGGAGGAGATGCACATGGTGGAGATGCACATGGCGTGGCAGACCTCCCCTCGCCCGCCCGCTGCTCCCCTCAGCAGTGTGCTTCATCCATCTGCCTGTTCTGCTCCCCAATCTGTCTTCCCCAATCTGTCTTCCCCAATCTGTCTTCCCCAATCTGTCTTCCCCAATCTGTCTTCCCCAATCTGTCTCTGGTGAATCCTCTCATCCTCCGCATCTCTGGCCTGTACCCCAGTTCTGTATGAATAAATAAAATGAATGTTAAAAAAAAAAAAAAAGGGCCCTCCCTGGTGGCGCAGCGGGTT